GGACCAGCCACATTTAAAGCGGCTGTCGCTGCGCTGTGCTTAAGGATCTTAGTGAGGTAGCTGCAGGCCGAATCCAGTGGCTTGGTAGGCTGGATATGGCCCACTGGCAGCCTCTTGCCCATCCCTGCAATATACCTCAGTACTGAAGGGTCCTTTCTATTAATTCAAGATTGACCATGTTCTGGGTTAACAAACACCTTTCCCCTTGAGTTTATTTAGCTTAGGGTACAGCCATTACCTCAAACAGGAAGATGGCTCAAATTATCAAGCACATTACTTAATTTCAAAAATTTAATGTTTGGGGAGAATATAGGTTTTTATAAAAATTTTCAAACTATTTTAGAGCATATTTCAGGTGGATTTAAAAATAACTGTATATTGTGACTAATTGCATGTTAATGTTTTCAGCAGAAAGACAGCATAACCATAGTACAGATGGAACCTCCCTGGTTCAGGACCTGAAGGGTCCCAAATGATGGAGTTTTCCATACTAGGGAAGATTCTCCCTGTTCCTCGGTACAGGACTGCTGCTCTGAGCCCTGGTGGGTCTGCGCTTCCCACCCAGGGCCCGGGCTACGCTCCCCAGTGCACTGACTCCAGCTAGAGCTGCACTCTTGTCACTGGTGCAGACTGCACATCTGGGTTCCAGTCCCAGCTGTGTTCTCGGGCACCAGCCCTGCTGCCTCTGGCCCAGGTGGGGCTATGCCAGCCTGGCTGGGACTGTGCTGCCAGCCCCTGTTGATCCGCTGCCTCTGGCCAGGTGGGGTTGCGTTCCCTGACACGAGCCCTGCTCTCCACACCACGCCGGCCCAGCTACCACTAGAGCTGCACCCCCTACCACCAACCCAGCTTCTAAACCTGGCCATCCGGGGCTCTGTAGTCCATGGATCATGGATGTTGCCAGAGCAGAGTGTCCTGGATTATAGAGGTACAATCTGTAAAGCAAAGGAAAATATTTCTTACCTATTTCCTTTCACACCCATTGTTAAAATCTCTAGCACTTAAATAATTTGTATGCTTGTAGTTATTTTAAAATGTAATGACTAAAACTAGTCCTTATTATAAAAAAGTATTTTGACCACTCTTTTTCCTGCATCTGTGGTATTACCATAAATATGAAACAATGTTTGTATTACTGTTTTAGATCACACTTGTCATCTGGGCTGTAATTCGAATTGGACCAAATGGTTGTGACAGCATGGAATTTCATGACAGCGGCTTACTACGTTTTAAACAAGTATCTGACATGGGAATTATACATCCATTATATAAAAGCACAGTAGGAGGCAGGCGTAATGAAGATTTAGTTATAACGGGAAATAACCAACCTGTAAGTTACAGAAGTGGAACACGTGCTTAACAATATGGAGGAAATGCAAATTTTTTATTTATTGTAACTGTAGTAGAAATATTTGTCATGTTTTAAAATAATTTTAATGATTTGGTTTTTGCAGATTGTATTTCAACAAGGAACAACAAAACTCAGTGTTGAAAAAGACAAAACTTCAATTACCAGTGATATTGGGATGGAATTTGTTGACCCAAGGACACAAAATACTTTGTTCAGCACAGACTATGAGACTCATGAGTTTCATTTGCCAAATGGAGTGAAAACTTTGAATGTACAGAAGGCATCTACAGAGAGGGTATACACTATTTTAATAGATCAATTTTCTTTTATATAGAGGCTAACTATGGAATTGTCTTTTGTTGCAAAGTAGGAATGCAGTGTGTTTTATCATGAAATAACTGTTGCAAAATGTAAACAGTAAAATTCTATAGAAAAGTTATAAAATGTTCTTCAATCTATATGCTGTTACAAGTAAGAGAATCAGTTAGGACTGTTAGTTACAGCCTTTTAATTTATCTCAACATACCAAGACCAGAATAACCACATTTATTTTTGTTTGCCATTGGAATTTTCCTGTTTGTTCATTCACCAGGATTGATCTTTTTACAGCTAACAGGTCCCAACATAGCTTGTTATATAATTAATATTGCAGTGGCTGTGGAGAAATTCAGATTTTTTTTTAAAAGCTCAGTTCTTTAAAAGAAAATACAGTAAGTGTGCACACATACAACCTGTGCCTGTTGCTTTATTTTTCTTGACAATAGATTTGTTATAACTAGATGTTCAGAAGTCAGATGACACTTTCCAGCATATTATAAGAATTTTTAATTTTCAGTTAAACTGATAAGTGAACAACATTGTCATTGTAGGGTTCCATGTTTGTCAGTTTGACTTCGAGATCAAATAAGCCCCATTTACTAATAAAAAATATGAATTTTTCCTATTGCCAGCTATACAAATTCAGCATAGGATCTGAAAGTCAGGTTCTGAGATTTCTTTCTTGTACATAACCATCTGTAAAAGGTTCTGCAGGCTGCATTAAGATTAGTCACAGCTGTACAACCCCATTGCCTCAAGAAGGTTTACATGGGTAACTGGATGTGTACTTAAATTTAATGTACAATTCTGTTGATAATATGCAAGAAGGAATAGAAACCAGCTCATTCTCTCAGTGATATTTAATCTGCAGAACAGGAATAAAAATTAAACTTTTTTTTTTACATAAAGTAAACAGATATGACTCTGAATACAAAAAGGAACAGATCTGATGGGTAAAGAACCACCATTTTTAATATACAGGCAGTCCCCGGGTTACGTACAAGATAGGGACTGTAGGTTTGTTCTTAAGTTGAATCTGTATGTAAGTCGGAACTGGCGTCCAGATTCAGCCACTGCTGAAACTGATCAGTTTCAACAGCGGCTGAATCTGGATTTACATACAGATTCAACTTAAGAACCCCAGGTATCCCCAAGTCAGCTGCTGCTGAAACTGATCAGAGGCTGATTCCAGGAAGCCTAGGGCAGAGCAACTCTGCCTCCTGCTTCCTGTAGTCAGCCCCTGGTCAGTTTCAGTAGCAGCAGCTGAATCTGGAGCCAGTTCCGACTTACATACAAATTCAACTTAAGAACAAACCTATAGTCCCTATCTTGTACGTAACCCGGGGACTGCCTGTAGTGGAGTCTCCATCCCTAGAGGTGTTTCAGTCTCGGCTTGACAAAGCCCTGGCCGGGTTGATTTAGTTGGGATTGGTCCTGCCCTGGGCAGGGGGCTGAATTTGATGACTCCAGGGCTGTGTCTAGACTGCATCCCTTTTCCGTAAAAGGGATGCAAATTAGACACATCGCAATTGCAAATGAAGCGGGGATTTAAATCTTCC